CATTTGCTGTGCCTACTCTTGCGACCTGCTTCTCGATTTTCTCTTGGAGCTCTGCTGTTGTTCGAAGACGGACAATAGACTGTTCGGCTGTGATTACGGGCAGCGACCTGTCCAAAACAATTTCTGTTAACATTGTCCTACGTAATATATTCAACCACTTACCATGCAGTATCTAGCTCTTCTTTTAAGGATAGCAGTCGACCAAGCTCCAACTTCTGCCTCTGTAAGATTGCTTCTTTACTGGAATATGCTTCTCGCTCCAAAGTCCATTGCCCACGAAAAAATTCGGCTGAATAGTTTTGGCCAGGTGCAGCTGGATTGGTCGTTCCATATAGGATAGTTAGTGCAGATTGAGCTTCGCTCAAAACCTTCACTGCATTTTGGTATCGGTTTTGAAGCCACAGTCCTGTTAAATCAAGCGCAGATCATCAGTATACAATGAATAAACCAAGAATGAATAAAGCAAGAGGTACAACTTACCACATCCGTCATTAACCCTGGAAGCATAGAACACAGCACGCCAATGTATAGCAAGGAGGCGATGAAGGCGAGTAGATATGCGAAGAGGTGCTACTAGAGCAGATAGAAACGACCAGAGCCTCTCAAGGCCTTCGCCGTCTGAAAGTCCCCAGTATTTATTGAACCGAGGGTGGAACTTGATCTGGCAATCCCACTTATGCACGTATGCATGGAATACCGAGGTACCGAACATCATCTTGAGGTTGTCAGGGGGAAATAGCTCACGCTATGATGGGAAATAGATTCCATGTTGATCAGATTGGGTTTGGGTGGAGTTGTGATAGTTCTTATTGACTTACTTTTGCGATATGCGCGCCTAAGTGGCAGCCAATGTCATATAGTACACCTATAAACTTGTCAGGGTAGAGTTCTCGAAGCTGTTTGAGAATTGTCACAGGATAATGCAGTCTGTATTCAAAAGAAACGTGTCAGTTCTTGGTGCATTCTTCTCAATATCAATAATGCACTCACTTCTCGCCACTCTGGAATATATTCACAAAGTAAAGGGGTACATCATGGCGACAAGCTGCTGCGAAGAGACCTGTATCGTCACATCTGTCCCATGACATGCCACTGCGAACATCGTTGGCAGCAGTATGGGAATCCGAACACGAGCTCTGTAATCAGATAACTGTCAGTATTGGGAATTGGCAGATCAAAAATTGAGATGATAAATCGAGAATACTTACCTTGATGTCCTTTGCTTGAGCATCGGTCTGTTGGCAGGCAGCAGCATGTGGTTCAAGCTTGCTAGGTCGAATGAAAAAGGTGGGGTATTGATCGTCTTGAGGGCAGTCCTTGCTAGCATGTGATTGGTGACGATGTTGGAAATTTCCATCCATCGCAATCATGAAATCCGGTTCGTTTGGAGAGTCTTTCACTTCTCCTTCTGCTGGACCAAAGCACCGAGAGCACCGAGCGGCAGAGAGGTCGAGTGCAGTGAGCTGAAGGCCTTCTTCATATATTGTTTGTTGACCGATCAAAATTCGTCGATATATGTCGATTGCCTGGGTGAAAGGACGTCTTAAGCCTCGATTGACGTTCTTCTTGTAATTGCCCTTGATTTGTTGAGGTGTCAATCTAGATGGGCACTGTACATCGAGAAATGACATGAGTGCGTCGATAAATCCGGAAATTGATATTGAAGTGTGGTTCCAGAGGTGATGTTGAAACTGGAGAAGCCGGATAGAGAAGGCGGTGCGAGGGAAATGGGGAGATCCAGCGATATAACCGAGATGAAGCAGACGGATAACGTCTGGTACACAGTCGCAAAATGTGACCCGACGTTTTCTGGCATGACCTAGAAAAAGGAAGGAAGTATTAGTTCCAATTATGACTTACATAATAGAAAATGAATGAATCAATAAATAAACTTACTAAGAATGTCAACAAAGTCAACACAACGTCGTCGGAATTTTTCAGGTGGACACTGGCATTTAATCTCATTGGTCAGATACGAGTTTTGCTTGGTCCAATTCTGCGTGAAGGACTGGAGGTGAAGATATGTGGCAGTAAGTTGAGCTTCAAGGGCCATCCACTTGCTTTGATTCCTAGCTCGGGCTTCAGCACGTCGAAGAGATCTCTGATGTTTTGCATATTGATCGCCTGGTGAGTCCGGCCTGATTTCTTCGTGGGTACAAGGTACTTCAGGTATGTCTTCCCACTCATTATTGTTGTCTGCATCGTCGTCTGTCTCAGAGAGGAGGGGGGCTGGAGGCTGTGAACGCTCGAGGAGACCAAGGCCTTGACTGATACGCAGAGCTTCATCGCGAGTCATAGGAGGTGGTGTGGGGCTTTTTCGTCGTTGACGGGTTTGTCGTTGGCCAAACATATCTGATTCATATCCACCGAGGTTGAGATTGGGACGCCCCATCGATGGTGATTTGTGGTGGTGAGTTGTTATCGAGTGGGTTAGGAGGGTACACCACCAGTGAAGTTGATGGAATGGTGCAGGTCCGGCAGCTACGAGTACGGTCCGGCAGCTACGGGTATGGTCCGACGGCTACAGGTGTTATGATGTGTAATATGGTGTTAAGTGTGATACACGGCCATAGGCTTGTTAAGCCTTATTTGGCTAAGTTGTATGTATGAAATTTCAAAAAATTTCTTGGGGACTTGCCGATTTTGGGTTACCAAAATCGGGAGATGAATGAGATGAGTCGAGATAGGGCCCTCGACGATAGAAGCGGCTGTATGGTACATTCTATTCGACACTTCAAATGGTTGAATAGGGCACCCCGAGGTGCAAAAATCGGTAGAGGTCCAGTAAATATACTGGACCTCTACCGATTCGGTATCATACCCTTTTACCGAAAATACAGACACACTTGACTCCCTTTTCAACTACCTTCCACACCTCACTCTACTCTCCTCTTCAACGTTTTCAAGTTTGATTTCTTTTTTATAATTCTTTCAATCTCATCTTCATCAACCAAATCATCAAGTCATCATGTCAAATCAAATCACCACGAATCAAAATCAATCAGATCAAAACACCAAAAAGGAATCAAAAATAAAGACTACAAAAACGAAGTCGAGCAACTGGACTCCATCTGAAGAAGCAAAGCTAGACGAAGCTTGGCTCCACATCAGCCAGCAACCCGAGCACGGCACGAATCAGACAGCCAAGACCTTTTTCAAGCGAGTCACCTGGTATCTCAATGAGAACTCACCATTTGAAGCCCGAGAAGTTGGCTCTGTACAAATCAAGTGAGTCTACTGTACATAGATCAAGATGATGCCATTTCTCCTTCTGACTTTCATCGGATTGAATGTAGATGGGCCAGTCTGAAGACAGCTTGCCATAAGTTTTCTGGATTCTATGGCAATGTTGAACGCAACCCCCCAAGTGGAACAGTCGAGAACGATTGGATTGAGATTGCGATCAAGCTCTACGACGAGGTGAACCCCAGGAACCGCTTCAAGTCTCTCCCAGCTTGGAAAATCCTCTCGACCTCGCCTAAATGGATGGTACCCCAACCTCCTCTGGGTCCTTTAGCTATGTCGATTGCTCAAGGAATCGCCTCTAGCAACCCAGCCACCCCATCCTCGGATCCCAACAACCCTAGTTCTACTCGTGGCCATACACCACCTCGCCCGGTTGGCACCAAGAAATCCAAACGCAAGCGACTTGAGGATGAAAAGGCTCAAGAGATTGAATCTGCCCGGCAAGAGCAACTCATACGTAGTAATGATTTAGCTGAAAAAAGGATCAAGGCGATTCAAGAAGGGAATGAGGTGACTATGAAGATGGCTCAAGCTGATGCTGAAGCCAAAGCTAGTCTAGTTCAGGTCAATGATCCCAAGGTTTTGATGATGTCAGAGGCCGAATGCCACACCGAGCTTGCAAAAGAAACGTTAAGATTAATGCAACAAAGATTAAAGGAGAAGTATTCAGCTGCTGATACTACTGCTTCCACTAGTACTAGTAACATTTAAGCCCTAGATTTAACTCAAGCAGGATTCATATTATTTAAATCAAGTCATAAGTTGAGAATTGATTTGCTCATTTAAATCAATCCAAGTATATTTAATTTTCAAACAAGTCATAACTTCAGAATAAATCAATCTAAAAACATGTTGTTGATCTTGAAATACAAGTTTAAATTTGATTTGATGCCTCTGTCTATTTTTCCAAAAATAAAAATTAAACGTTTCAAAAATCTGTTTAACTTTTTCTTCAATACATGTTGTTAGTTGAACTTTTTCTATCTTTCTCGCAAAAAAAGAAAAACAAGTTGAAAAATTATAGTCTTTGTTTCATCTACTATTAGTTTAAGTTTGTTATAACGCAATGAATTCTTGATACTATGCAATTGCGGCCTCTGGGTGTCCTGCTCGTGTACCTCGTGCCATCCAATTGTGGATTTTGAGGTCGTGCATCAGACAACGATGAATATCAGCGTCTCGTAACTCAAGATAATTGCTGACCCGATCGGCAGGAGATTGTCGAATTTGTGGATCTCTTTGATTGGGAATAACCTCGGTTTGGGTTGCAAATTCCAAGACTTTCGGATCAATCTCCCCTCTATCCACAACTACCATGTTGTGAAGGACAATACACGCATACATGATTCTGCGGATGTTGTGTAACGCCCAGAGTCGGCATGGTATTGCTAGTATATGCCATTGTGCTTGAAGTCCACCAAAGGTACGTTCAATATCTTTCCGAGCTGCCTCTTGTAATTGGGCGTAGTAAGCTGAAGCGTCATCTCCAGGGTTGTTTATCGTTTTGATTAGGACAGGCCATTGGGGGTATATCCCGTCGGCAAGGTAATAGCCACGGGTATATTCATTGTTATTGACTTTGAAATTCAACAGCTCGTCTGTTCCTATTAGAATCAAAGTAAGTTTTTTTTATTCTGAGAAATGACTATAGACAAAACCTACCCGATAGAAACCTATCAAAGATGGGACTTTGATTAAGGACATTAATGTCATTAAGAGAGCCTGGTGACCCAAAGAAAGCATGCCATATGCGAGTGCTTTGGGATGCCACAGCCTTGAGAACAATGGTAGCGCACTTTTCTTTGCCTTGAAACTGTCCAGCCCATCCAGCTGGACAGTTTTTCCACACCCAGTGCATTCCATCTATGGAACCTTTGCAGCCGGGAAAACCACGTATTTCATACTCCTTGAGAATGATTTCGAGCTCATCTTCATTCGGTGGGCGGAGAAATTCTGGTCCAAATATTTCAATTACGCCTTGTACAAATTTCTTCAAACATGATATAGCCGTAGTTTCTCCTATTTCTACATATTCATCAACGAGATCGGCCGATATGCCATAAGCCAGCTGGCGAATGGCAGAAGTGGCTTTTTGAAGTGTGGACAGGCCGAGCTGGAGGCAGCAGTCCTACACAATACACGACATGGAAGGAATAGTTCCTCATTCATCAATGATCATCACTTTCGAGTCATGTAGATACAAAGAACTTACATAACGCTGGACCCAAAAGATATCGTGTGCTTCAAGCTTTGCACAGATATCCAAAAACATTTCTTTACTCATTCTGAATCGGCGTTCAAAATTTTCAGCCCAACGTGCATTTACATTGAAGTAATTGTTACACAGCCTTTGATGGGCCTCAAGTTGATCACGTTTGATCCGTCTTCTCCGGTGCTTTTGCTGGGGATTCATCTGCTCATCGGTTAGCTCTAGAGCCAAGAAGGCTTCGTCCGTGAGATCATCATCTAGCTCGTATTGCTGAAGTCTGCAGATGTGATTACATAGGAGTGTGTTCGACATGAGCTCGTTGACTTGCAATTCGTGCAATGCAGGATCATCCATGCTGGATTGCGGATTTGATAGATTGAGTTTGAGTAGGATGGAGAAGGTTTGAGATAAACTCTGAAGTTTACAGAAGTTGATAAAATTCACGATAGTGGGAAAACCACGTTTCTGTACATTATGTACTGTACTGTGGCAAATTACTTCGAACAATAGTGGAATTTGACCAATCTGTACCTAAATGTACTGTAGTGTACAAAGTATGTACTGCTACTTTACAGAAATTATACAGAACAATAGCTGATGCTCTTAGTATCAATTACTCCTGCGGACTTCCTGTCACTACTCATCACTAATCAAATTACTAGTATGCTTATAGACATTTGATGCTTGTACATTTCATATATTTTCTCTCTCTCTCCATAGCCTTTGTTGTTTAGGTGCTGATTCTCTTTCTCTCTTCACTCAAACATCATCCTTGCACCACACTCTATTTCACTTATATTCTATTCATTACTTTAGAGTGCTAACAAGACTGTATAGTTTGTTGTGCTTCACTATCAACCACTTGGCAGACATACCCCTTGCACCAATTCCAGAACCTCAACTAATGGGCATCTTCAAGATCAGCATTCCTCTGAATTAAGAAGGTGGCCACACACACAGGCGGCAAATCAAGGGCTGAAGTGAGCCTGCAGGACAAATGTCGGCTGTCCTGGTGATTGATGTCAATTTGCAGGCTGTTTTCTGGCTCAACTGTGTGGGGGCAGGTCCAGACCCAATTTGGGCACAGAACTCTCTGGTGGTGTATCCAGGGTCCTCTCATCATCCAGAAGGAATCAAAGAGATCTGCTAGATCCTGAGATCTGTAATTCAGACCTCTGTGGTGCCTAACTATCATTAAATTTACTTTATCTGACAGCAATCCAAACGAGGTTTTTCTAATGAAAAGATATAAATGTATAGCCATGCATTTTTAGAATGAGAATGAACAGATAATCCAAGTTCATTTTTGTGCGGTTTCATAGATTAGTTCACTGATCACTTCATTCCATAAGGTGGGCTACTGGTCACGAATAGAGACTGAGTGATAGGTGACTATCATAAAAGGTGACTATGATAATTGATGAATATGGGTAGATGAATACGACTTTGGACAAACAACATGATGTGTGAACACAATAACAGATTCATACGATGGCAAATTTATACGATAACAATTTATATGAACATCCTAAATTGAAGGAAAAGAAATGATTACTTGTATCATTTGTATTAAAACGACAAAAAAAATCCAAAGAACAAACGAGTGTTAAATCCATACAGTAGCGATGTTGAACGATTAACGTCGTCATTCAACTATTCATCATCACCAGACATATACTCACACAACATGTTTCCAAGGCCAACCCAATACTAGAGGATTTTGGCGAGATATAACGACCACCTCATGGCGTGAAAATAGAAGAAAAGATGATGATACATAATTGAAAGCAATCGCATGCTTCCGAAACCTGAATGTTATGGTTTTCACTGCATTGTCGGAAAGCTGAAAACATGGTCCAAGTCAAGTGTTTGAATCTGTTTGTCGTATTCTAGCACGGTGAGAAATTTTGATTACAGAATCTGGCCTTACAAGAGAATTCAAGCCGTATCGCCAGACTCAAGACTACGTTCTCGTGGCTCTGCAGGCATTTTAGGTATTGGTGAGAATGCTACAATGCACGATATCTTTTGCATGGTTGAATTGAACTTTATATCAGCTCTTATGGTATAAAGGTCTTAATGCACTTCAATCAACAGAGAGATACCCACTGCTCCCAATCCTATACCGACTCCCAAGTTCCAGGTGATGTTGGCCCAAGTTGAGACAAATATTGTAAAAGATGTGAGCGGGATCTTTGCAGGCACATTCATAGAATTGAAAACTGTGGATAGAATTTGACATGGTCACCAAATTAAACCAGGAAGAGTTTTTTACATCAACCATAATGATATACCATAAACTTACCTGTGATCCCACTCAGGATGACGTACGACGAACCGACAGAACAGGTCAGGATAGCCTGCCATAGAGTATTTGAAGTATACTTCCTCAAGGATAAGTACTGCTGAACTAGTCGAGCTTCATCTATATCTTCCCAATCTTGTCTAGGCTCGAGAAAGAGATGTGAGCTCCAGGTGTTCGCATCGACTTCAGTACCACGGCTAAATGAAGGAAGCCATCTCGCCCATCTGTCTTCTGAAGATAACCGCTTGAAAGTTTTTTTTACACTCGAGCTTGAATCGTCGATATAGTAGGTTGAGCCAGTGGTATGGTTCTGTTCATCGAAAATCGGAGACGACGAATGACTCTTCGCGCGGTGAAGGGTGTCAAGTTTGATCGCTCGACGTCTGTGGAAACTTTCTCGAAGACAACCAACCTGAAACCAAAGTGCGCTTATGATTCTTTGAGATGCCACAACGATAACTAGCACGACAAAAGCATCCACAATGAAAAAGATCCCGCCCAAGATTCTAATGAGCTTCAGTAAACTTCCACTGCTTTCGTCCAAAATAGAGAGACTATGCCCTGCGAGTTTTTGTTCCAATAATCTTAATGGTGGAGCTGATGAGGGATCGATGAGAACTCTTGAAGAATTTTCGAAAGATCTCCAAGCACTGTTGATACGAGAGACCCGATACCCCACCAAGGTCGCCGTCGGGATCGTCGCAAGAAATGGAAACATGTAACCAATGATGACCAATATGTTGAATAGCTTGGGCGACAAGAACCGGGGTTTGCCATTCGTGGGCAAGCGAGTATGTCCTGTTCGTTGGCTTGCCTGATTCAAACGGAATTTATCTGATGGGCTTGCATATACCGTTGCCCATGCTGATCAAGTATCAAAAATGAGATGAGTATCTGAAAGCGGACACTTTCAATTCGGCTGCAGGTCATTTATAAACGTCGACGAACCTTTTGTCCAACCTGCTCGCCCAGTGTAAACAATTCATGCAGCCACAATTTCTTAGTCTTGGCCAATCACCAAATATACCATGCAAGCAACACGAGACGCTCACCTAAGCTGAAAAGAGGAGGGTAAGTCATAAGTTGAAGTACTGCTGTTGCAGGTCTGATAAAAGTATCTAGATCGCGTTGCAAACAAATCAATCCGCTCAAATTGACTAACCATCAGGTTAAATCACGACTGAGTTAGAACACCTGGGGACATCTCACGAAAATTACGAAACTTCATAGCCGTTCACATGGTATGTAGATGGACAATCGAAGAAATGTTCACCTGCTGTGTATAGTACTGCCCAGAAAGGAATCGCCGTATGAACGTTTGGATGGGCAAACCCAGAAGTATCGACGCGAACAAACCACAGGCCGGTGGTTTTAATCCTCTTGCACCCACTCGCAAAGTATAGCAGGCCGGCCAACGGGCATAGGATCGTTGCAAGTCGGAGTATCAGCCAATTATGATGAGGAACATCTGGATGGATTTGGCTATACACCAATTGATACATCCTCTCCCAAAAATTAGGCGCCATAGTTATATGATCTTGACGGAGGATCAGTAAACTCAACTAAGTCCCTCGCTGAGTGAGTTTAGAGGATCAGTTCGGGTGCGATGTGCTGGTTTCGTAATGAGTAGCAAATTGGGACAGAGGGTCTTATAGAGCGTTCCTTGAAGTACTATGTAAAAGGGTTAGTTCAACATTTTGCTGCAGTTTGCATCATTTGCCGAAATCGATCAAAACTTATGTAAATAGCATCATGGCACGGAGAAATGGCAGTGGCAATACTAGGTTTGATTGATGTCAGCATCGCAAGACAGTTATCACGAGCTCCCATCAATTGATTGAATGAGACTTTCTCCCAGACCAAGTGGCAAGTATGTAAAAATCGACTCAATGAACTGAGATGTACAGCGACTAAAGGATTTCATGGCAGTTTTTGGCCTCTTTGTGTCGCACCCGGATTTTACTCTATTGTCCAAAACTTGAAATCTTAAGTTTTTGGACGTCCAACCTTGTAGTTCAATATGTCTAAAGCTGTCTAAACCGTCTCTGTCTTGGCTCATGCCTGACAGATTCTAGAAAGAAACCGGCTCCGGCATGGCTGTCAATCCATGGACCGGACCCTTTCCTGACCACTTCAGGGTCGGACTTCATAATCAAGTTGTATTCAACCGTTATGTAAATCTCCAGCCGCTTTTCTTCCCACACCTTTCTCTGCCCCTTGTTCTCAATCCACCTCACCTTTCGATTTCCATCTTCACCACCGTTCACCAGCCTTTGCCACCAGTCAGCAACCGGTGGTGCAGCCGGCGTTTGCACGAAACTTGTATCTTGCAACACCACCAGTCTCAGAACGAAACGACGGCTTCTTCAGTTGCCTGATATTGGGCCTTGTTTGGCTTGAACTTTATTTGTTGTTATCATATCACACAAGGAAGGGTTTTATACCATCAGGAAAGGTCAGCTTGCAGTTCATCCGCTCCACAATCATACTTATTAGACTTCGAGGGCTAGCTAACCATCAAATCATATTCATCTTTTTGTGGCATCCCTTCTTGCCATTCAAAAGCTTCATCTTGAATCGAACATGAAATTGATGACGACCATTTTCGTAATTTGTTTCGATTGAAGGCCATGAAGAAGAATTTCAATATATATCCCTTCAATTCCATCGATACATTTCATTTCAAATCATTACCTTTTTCAACATCAATCGATTTCCAATCTTTCCTTTCACAAACCTGTGGTTCACCTTTGGCTTCCATCTAGCCGTCAATTTCCGATATCGGCCACGACACGTTTCTTCGACTTCTATTGCTTTCAGTGGCTATTCTCTCGGTCGGAAACCAACACATCATATTGTACCTTTCAAAATCTGGTGGTTCAGCTGTGGCCTCGAAAGGCTTTGGTATTGGATTCTACCACGTCATCTTTCTTCGATTGCCAAATCTAGCACTAAACTCAGTTGGAACCAAATTGGCATTTCCAACGCCAATCAAGCTTGCCACCAGTTTGAAACCTATAAAGGCGCCCCTTGGTCTCAGTCTCCATCTCAAAACAAGCCACTTCCCAAATTGGTTATTCAAAAACATACAAATTACTTACCAAATCATCAATCCCTTTCTAACTCGTCTAGTCAGCTCTTTCTTGACCTTTATCTCTTCTCTATAAGTTGAAACCCAAGTCTGATGTTTGTTTTTCCTTTGGGTCTTTGATCGTTTTTTTTCCTTAGTTTGATTAGTCAAAAACCCATCTAGCCTTATAAAAGTCAGTCCTTGTGCTTCAATTTCTAGTGATAATCTTGCTCTCAGTCATCTGACCGAGTATCACTTTTGTTTTTTTTTATCAGAAATGTCTGAATCTGCTCAATCACCAAACACCTCCAACGGCAGCCAGGTCTTATCTGGCCATGTCAACTCGTGTAAGTGATACTATGTTACTTTATCTATTTTGAGCTTGTACGCAGGTAGAAGCATATAGACACTGACCATTTCATTTGTCAGTGTTTGAACGTCCGTCATCCATATTTGATGGACCCGATGCGCCTGTCACCTTCATCAATGGCCCGTTGTTCCGCGAGGGCACCGATGCCAGGATCGCTTTCGACAAAAAGCACGAAGTGATTATCGGGGTTGTCTTTAAACTCCACGCTCACAACGGTCCACCTGCGGTCGAGCCTATCCCATCGAAGGTCACCAATGGCAGACGTGCCTCTGCGACTACCAAGACCCCTCTTGTGGATTCCAAGACTTTCAACAATGGTGAACCCATTGAGTTCAAGGCTTGCCTGTTTGGCAAGTCTTTGAATGACATGAAGAAACTATGTGCGAAGTTATGTGATGTCCATGCCCCGCTAATGGAGCAGCTTCTCTTAACCAGCGATATCGCACCTTCCATCATTTGGAAAGGTGTTGTCGGTCGCACCAAGGTTGTTCTGGATGGAAGTCGAGGCTGGTTTGGTTTTGTTGAGTTGCTAGAAAAGTCGAAGAAAAAAAGAGGTTCTGTGATGATCCTTCACGAGGATGAGACTTTGAAGGCTCAAAAGAACGCCAAAGTGAGTTAATAAGTTTTTCTTATTGTCCTTCTTCATGTTTCTCTCGTCTTTATGTTTTCCCTTTTGTGTGTTTAATCACATTTATGTGGTTAGTTTACTAATGGCAATGTCAATCATTTTCCTACAGGTCAATGCAGCGAAGCAGCTAATTGCCACAGCTGCAGGCCCAGCTTCGGGCAATGGCAATCAAGATCTTGAAGTGGTGAATGCCCGCTTAGAAGTAAGTTTTTCCTTTACACTCCAGTTACGTAAATTTTGGGTCAAACTAACCCTTGGTGGTCACAGGCGTCCCAAAAGTTGGTCAAGTTGCACGAGACCACTGCGGCCATTTATCGTCAGCACGGCGAGGTTTCCAACAGTGGCGATGGTGTTATTTTGGTAGCACCCTGGGACCCAAACTTTCAATACCGGTTCACCCTGCGATGTGCCTTCGAGTGGGCCAAAGCTATCGTGAGTTGCCTGTTGTTCCATATTACACATTCCTTGTGGATGTTAAACTGACCGCTTCAATCTCATATTTAGGAGGCCAAATTGGCCACGATCCATATGGCGCCTGATACGAAAGAGTATCGTGCGGAAATGGAGAAATCTCGAGTATTTCATCGCGCTATGGCTGTGCGTGACCGCGTTCAAATGCGTATTGGTGCTCGTCGGGCTGCTAGATCAACTCGTTCTTTCTTTGGCAAGGATGCCAAAGAAAGAACCAGCCCTACTCCTGCCGGTGGTTCGGGCGTCTGCCTGGTCATCTCCTCAGACGACCGTGTAATTTCCGAAACAGAAAGCGAGCATGATGCCGGTAAGAGTTATTTTGGTAACAAGGAGAACCGTGAGTAGCGCCTCTTATGATCTATATAACTAGCTTCCATCTGACAAGTCTCCTTGTATCTCTGTCTTTCTCTTATACCTCTGCATGTAGATCCCTCGGCCAGGAATGCAAAGCTCAAAGCTGAGATTAGCACGTCCAGCTTAGAGTTGCCCATTTTGGAAGGCAAGCCTAATCTGCCCAAAACCCAATATGGTAAGATTTCGTAGTTTTTTCACTGTCTGCTCTTTCTTATTCCTAAGGTTGTGCTCATGATGAAAACGATTCATTTAGTTACTGGTCGCTCTACAGGAAACGTGATTGAGTTAGATAACGGTGATGACTCTTCAGATATTTCCGACGGTATTGGTACCTCGGTGATTGCTTCTCACGAAGCGGCATTGGAGAATTTCCTTTACACTACTGGTATTCCCCCTGAAGATTTGAATACCCGCATGGGCTTAGCTGAAGCTGGGGTAGAGTCATGGACCGATCTCATCCCGTCCCTTCAGATGACTGAGGGGACTTTGGTTTTTCGAGGTGTTAACCGCAGTGTTGCAGGCCGTCTGCTTGCAGCTGCTGAAGCTCGTTACATGCGAATCACCAAAAGACAAGGTGAGTGCGCCCTTCATGACTTCCACTTCTTTCAGTTATTGATCACTGATCATCCGACTTCTCCTGCGTCTATTAATCATTTCAGCTGCCTGATGAATACCTAAATCGAAGAATCATACATGTTAAGTATGTAATCCTCTAAAGTCAAAGTTGTGTTGTTATCTTGCTATCCAATTTTCTGTCTCCTGTTTTATTCGGTCAAAAAAACCACAAGAATTTGTTAACTTCGCCAAAGTCCTATACACTGAAAGGAAGTTATCGTGCTTATCTAGTTATCCCAAAGTCTGCTTACCTCGTGCTTATCTTGCTATCCCAAAGTCTTGTTATCTTTGATAAAGTCCTATTCACAGAAAGGCAGTGATTGTGCTTATCTTGTTCTTGTTATGCCGAAGTCTTGTTATCTGCTTGTTCTCATCCAAAAAATCCAAAAAAAGTTGTTATCATTCCTAAAGTCCGATACACAGAAGGTACTTCTCATGTTATCTCCCCAAGAAACTTTCCAAAAATGCAAGTTATCCTGATATATTAGTCTCGCTATGATGTTCCACCAAATGGGTGTTTTGTGCCATGTCCGATATTGGACTTCAAAACCAGTTTCCCTAGTGACTCTCTTGAAGCCTAACCAAGGTCACAAATGTGGGTCCACGTTTGCTAAAGACTGACCTTTAACATTGAAAGAAAAGAAATAAAAACTTATTCGTATTTTATAGATTCTAAAGGATAGATTTTAGAGAATCTAAAGTCAAGAAACCTTAGTCATATTGAAGTCATGAATATGACTAATGTCATAATCATGATCAATTTGTTGGTCATGATCCTGAGTCGTATTGAACGCATCCAACTTGTCAAGCTCAATTCCTAAGAGCTTGATCAAACTCATTGTTGAGCAAACAGGATCATGATCATGATCCGTAGGTGCTCAATCACGTACATCCATTACCTCAAGCACCAAACCTCACCTTGAGTCAAAAGCATATGACTCAAGCATACATCTTTGATATTGCATTGCAGAGAAATATTCAAAACCAAACAAAGGGACAAAGATTAAAAAAAACTACC